GTAGTATGTCTAATATGCATCGCTGCGTCGGAATAACAGCAGTAGTGTTGAAGGTCACGGTACTGATATACACTAAGCGGCATAAGGTTCTGTAGTGTCATCTACTCACTCTTCCATTTCTCAATGTGGCTAGCCCTTCCCCAAATGCTTCTCTCTCCCAACTGTCACTCGCTACCCCGGACAAGCTCTACACTACCATTCACTCCTTTGTTATCATCACCTTCTTCTCTTACTCTTTCGCTTCAAGGTTTAACTTGACACTTACCACTTGTCGCTAGGCACTCACCCACGAGCTACATATCTTCCCACACCAACACTGACACCCACAAAATCAACAAGATCTCCACACACCAATCATTATATCACTTAGTTATTCACTTATTCATTTCCTCACGGATTGTATAGTACATGGCACATCTTGAACAATAGGTAAAACACTCGCAGATGCTGGCTGCCTTAGCAGCACGCGATGGAGGTGCATTTCTGCACGTGAGTTACCAGTTTCTGTCTGACCTCATGACAGCCCTTTGGTGTGCGGAATAATCTCTGAGGCTCCGGTGAAGTAGGACGGACGCATAAGAGATCAAATACACTCCCTTTCGCACATATGAACTATTGTAAACAGGCAGCATATGTGTCCACGACGCCAACTTGCTGCACCTTATTTCTTCCTAGAGAACTTTTTGAGACATCAGTACTTCCTCAGTAATACGTCTGTGCCCTACAGGTCACCGTGCACTTTGTGGCATTATGTGCAATCTGTAGCCTCAAGACAATGCCACGCAGACTCATGTCTTATTAACGTGGGTGGTTATAATATGCGCCTCCAGCTGCTCAAGGTCTTTCAAACCAGCCAATACGTCCGGCATCTTGCAGTAAGTACCTTTACTCAGTTTGCCGCATCATTTTCTTGTTCATTTATGCCTCTCTTTCAAATAGCTCTCCTTCTTCCGTCTATTCTGGCTGGTAGTCATAAAGTTGTATGTAGGTGAATTTGATGCAACACCCATTCTCCTCCGGTGCGGCAGTACAACGGATTCCTCAACAAATCAGTGGGATGTTATAGAGTGATACACATCATGGTATTCGCGTACTGAATCGCATCCTCCTTCGCGTTGCATGCTGGCAGACACAACTTACGGCTGCTGAGTCCTGCTGTATGAGACGTACCCCGTGTGTGTTATACGGTCAGTACTTGCGGGTGTGGCTACGTCCACCACGGGATCCTCTCTATTG